GGCATAGAGTAACAGATTAGTATTAGGACGGCTCACAATTGATTCTGGAAAAAAGCACAACCGACAACGTTGACCTTGCAGACATCCGGTCGACCCATACCTCACGATTTTTTTTTCCTTAGTAAATTTCAACACAGTATTTACAACACTATAAAAATATAGATGTGCCAACCCAATACATCCAGCTCAATGAATTTCTCTCAAAGCACTGCTCTCAACATTATTACGCGGGTATTCTTCTCTACCACCTAATTCTTACAAACTAAAGGGATGACTGTGAGAAGAGACGCTTAAGATCGTCGCAACCTTAATATGACATTCGGCATCAAGCGATGGCAAAGTAATGGAAGTGGTAGTGCCGTATTCAATAACCCACCAGCTCATAATCTCTCTGGGACAGATGACACGAGGTCGGACTCGCCAAGCAGCGCCGATCACTGAACAAAAGGAAGGCGATAGAAGTCGAATTAATGAGCTAAGCATACGAATCGAAGCAAAGCTGTCATTTAGCGAACTGAGCACACTTTGTAAGTAGCAAATCTACTCGAATCTATCTATAAAATAGTAGCATGGGGCAATAGAATAGCACAACAATGAGGCAACAGGATCATCTGTGTTGTGGAGTGTATTCCTTTCCCATGTTTGTTTTTCTTTGCTTCTAATTGTGACTAATTGTAAGTGGTAAAATCTGAGCCGAACACAGCAGCGTAGAAGCAGCAGGCAAGAACGAAATCAAAACAGCGTTTGACCGCGTTCATACCTCGCGTTCGGTTCGCGATGAGCACTGTGCGACGTCGACAGACTTCCATCGCCAGTAGTTCCCCGGCTACAATACTCATTCGATCGCTTTCAGACAGAACCCCTATCCACCTCCGTAGTGGCTCAGATTTTGACGGTGAGGAGCGGTTGGTCGTAGTCACACGACTGAATCTCTCCAGTCTCGAAGTATGTACGTAGCCCTAGCCGTAGCCATAGCGCTTGTCCAGTGGGAGACAAATCGTTTTGCTCGATCCTTAGGCAATCTATTACATTGTAACATTGAGAAACACACGTTTTCGAAAACAACAGACGCACATTCCCTAGCTAGTAAAGTTACTGAATACCACTGCTGTTGTTTAGTGGAAATATGCGTACAAGGGCAGTCCACAATAGGTCGGTCAATGGGAACATTTCGGAGCACAAAGCGGGATGCGTTTCGGCAACGGGGAGGGGCACATTTTGCGCTTTCGGCGCTTGTGCGAGACTTGTGAAATCTGATGAAACCATGAAGGGATACCAGTCAAGGTTTCTGGAAACCACCTGACAGCTATTGTAAGGAACAAATGACAACTCTTGTAAAGCAATGAACACGACAACGGAACGAAAAAGCAGAATGCCTCCCCCTCCTCCCGTCGCCGAACTGCGCCAGCGGCGTGTAATGAGTTCAGACGCTGTCACAAATGGGGGATCAGAATATTTGATTCTGTATCACCTTACTCGTTTTGAACTCCAATGAAGCTGCCCTTGGCACCGGTTCGATCGCTTTCGGGCACTATCTCACAGAGCAGCAACACAATTGATAACAGAGGACAGTCGCTGGAACTTATGAAACGGGTGGGTAAAATAAAGAGTAACAAGGTGACATGGTGGATTGCGCTAGATTGCTCCCAATGATTAAAATGAAAGAAAAAGGTGTAGCAGAGAAGAGAGAGAAAGAAAGGCTTAAATGAGGAGAACCTGTTAACGAAAGAAGGTTAAATACAAAGATATGAAAGCAGAAGGAAACATTATTGGAGGCGATTACCCTGAATTAAACGGGTGAAGAAGGGATAATGCCTACTTCAACCATAACTTCATTGTCCCAACCATATTCCGAAAATACTGACCTTCTTCCAATTATAACTACTGAAACGCTCTTTCTTCATAAAATACATTTATGTAGCTGAAAATTAGCAGCAGATACGACTGCAATCGTGGAACCACTACTGAAAGAATGAGACACAGCAGAGGGATCCGGCGGACTCTGGGTGAGTTCGAACCTCCCTAGCGACTATGACAGGTCGAACCTCCTCAGCGAATTTGAGAGGCGTAGCGCAAATCGCAGCAACGACCGCTAGCATCTCAGTTGGAAATAGGTCAGCCATTCGTCCGCCTTAGTGTCACATAATCAAACCCCGCAACGTCTCATCCAACTTCAACCTCAGCATTCCTCTTGGTTGACCCTCAACGCCTAGAGTTTGCGCCGAATCGGTTTAATATGCGTACACCGAAAAAGCTTTCAGAGTACAAAAAAGATGTGCATAAGTATAGAATGATGATCAGCAAACTGATTAAGCAGTCAACCCAGAGATATGGGCATTCTACACATGTAATGACTGAGAGGAACTGGGGTAGGAGAAAGTTATACTGGATTGAAGGTAATGTAGTCCACAACAGATCAGTGTTACACTACTGGGAACAAAACCGAAATTATTAATCAAACAAGAAATATTCCATTTTTCGACTGTGACCAAAAAGCGGGCACGTAAAGCGAGAGGAACAGGCAGAGCGCCGAGGGATTAGTCGCTCTCCTTACGTCAAAATAACAGACCAAAGCAATGATTATTACAAATACGCCAATATATGCTTATACAAATACAATACAATATTATTATTATGAAACTAAAAATACGAAGTTGTTTGTGATATTAAGGTAGACAGCTAGAAGAAGAATAACTAAGATTGCTGTCAGTTACTTCAGACAAAATAGGAAATACACAGAATACCCGCATGGAAATGAAAAAGCAACAGAAAAGAGCAAACAAGAAAGCGGGTGTGACCAGGGGTTTTCACAGACATAACTCTTTCGCACGAAGTAGGAGAAGGCTATTGTTCAAAATTATAGGACTCGATAATGGGCGGTGAACACATTACCAATGCTGCTGCTATCACAACATTGACCTCAACTTGCCAGGGCTTATTTACAGGATGAACTTGAAATGACCTTGTAGAGTAAGCAGGTCATTACGAGCAGTGGCGGCTATGGAAGAATGAGCGATGGTGTTCCACTTATCTGCTCAAAAACCGAGCGCTGACCAAAAATAGGACAGGTTTTTTGCAGCGAAGCCCTCTGACCCACCATTCATGGCCGCGAAGGCAATCGTTTAAAAAAGGAATGGCCATGTACGATAGCCTTTGTTTGACACGAATTGATGTTAAGTTCAAGATGGTCTAGTGGTGCTGACCACGAGTATTTGATTGTATAGATCCCCTCCGATCTAAAGGTAGCTTCATGAAGGGATTTCGTCAGGGAGGCCCACACTTTTGCTCTTTTCCCCTACTTCAAGGGGAAGAGAAATGAATCTAATTAATGACAACGATCGGTGCTCATCTTCTCAAGTCCTCGATTGCGATACGTGCATGAAATCGTCATTTGGACAATCCCCTCGCAGCCCTCTTTTCCAAAGTTCTCTATCCCCACTAAAATTAACGACCCCTCACTCACATCCCTTCAATGCCATCTTCGCGACCTTGCTTCAACTGTTCAAGGTGATTGCTTCATTCGACCACTAAAAACAATGCCAGCCCAGTTGCAGGTGCTAAACGAAACGAGTAGCGCAACCCTCAAGAGGTAATCTGAGGTACTTTTTCAATCCGTGTTGGCCCGAGCTCATCTGGTAAAAGTATTTATCTTTTTCCAGAAATCCTTCACTGAAGTAAGCGCGGTAGGGATCAGCTCCTGTCACTTTGTCCACCAAATAGCGAAGTTAAGAGGATCATTCTCTACATATGGGGCACTTGTTGGTCCGTTTTCCAGCTGGGAACTCTCTCCGTCCTTGGAACATACCGAATTTGCGGTGTTCAAATTGGAGTGATCCTTCAAGTTCCATAAATACGGCGACTGAAGCCCCATCCCGATGATGGTTGGCACGAACTATAAGGATTATTTTAGCTAGCTGTAGGGTGGAATTGCAAAGGGAAGGGCTGGAGATGACATCGATGGCCAGACGACAAAGATAAATCTCGCCAACTGTGAGATAAGATCTTCGCGCGCGGAAACTGACATGTACCAGAAAGGAACACCGTAAATCTCCAGTCAAACATCTCGGCAGCTCCATTGAAAACTACAGTTCGCGAAAAGAATTTAGTCACTTCACGCAAGGGGCGTCCAATAGGGCTAATAATCGAAATTTAAAGACAACACAAAAGGAACATGGCGTAGCTTTTACCAGATGGTAGATAACAATTTCAAGGCTGTGTCTGGCACCACTGAATGGCAGCTTGGACTTGAAATGAAAATGACGGAGAGTACCTCTCCATTAGGCATACGGTTCAGGGCATATGGGGCCGATGGGGAGAATTTCCCCAAGTATGACCACCCTCCCGAATTTCCTTCGCCAGTACGACCCTCTCTCATCTTGCCACGTCGAGCGCGGGTGAGGAGGGAGGTTAGACCTTTTCAGAAGTGGTAGCTTTGCGGCGGCGCCATATAGGCACTATGAAGTATAGAGCGAAATGAGCATAGTCTTCACAAGAACAATATCAAGTATGACCCCGTTCCTTCAGTGGCGAAATACATCCCCCCCTATTGGGTTTCCATAACGTACAAGGTTTTTGATACGGTTCCGATACTGCAGCATTGCTCTCCCGCATCGGTGTGCAGCAACGTTTAACCATGGTCCTTCGCGAGAACATAGACCTTATTTGTGCGGTACCGTGACATTCGATACAAAATGGGCTGTGGACACTTCACACGGAGACATAGCAGTGCCCGATTTCCATTTGCAGAAGGAATGAACAAATAATGGGTTCGCACAACAGAAACCGCATCTTTAGGCTCTGCTAAACGCAGATTCACAGCAAGCTTATGACAAAAAGGATACTGAATAAAGTGATTGGCACTGATCAACTCCTTTTGTATGCACCGACTGTTCGACCTCATTCGGAATAAACAAAGCATTTCAATGCACGGTTGGATAGTAAAGAAACTAAGGCCAGCCCATGCAAAAATTCGCCCATCTAGCGAGGTTGGATCCCTAAACAGCGCTGCGACGCCCTTTAACCACTTCACTGATGCTTCCCAAATCCACTATCTTACACTGGACAGTCCACGCCAAAGAGCTGCGGGTCAAATTTGAAGCGAAGGCCTCGACGAATTCAACTTTATTCCTACCTGAAGGACACCTGTTACTACCAAATTACTGGAGACGGAAAACGAGCGATCAGCAGCGATATAGATAAGTGCTATGGACTTGTAGTTGATTTCTTGAGTAACAGTCTGAAGTTCTACCACTCTATGGTGACAGCCATATCCGCTGTTCCCAAAGAACCAAATCTCTGCCAACTACAGATACGGTAAAGCGGGGGTCGTATTTGGTCTGTGGTCGTATCTGGCGATGGGAGAAATTTTCCCTCCTTCTAGTTGCCGGCGTCGCAGAAGTACTATGCAACTGCCATTTCTGATAATTGATGCTGATAGCTTATTGGTGACGACCTTACCCCCATGAGGATGTGTGAAATGGCGGCGTCGATGCGACACCGCCATTTCACCCATCCCGATGCTGCACCCTGATGGCAATTGCAGCTGTAGAGGGCAATGCCCGCCGCTATGTTCAGCTATAATTGCCTCTTCTCGGCTGTGGGTGCACGCGAATTATCCTTCAAGCGGCAAGCAATAGCACTGAAAACAGTTAACTTAGACCTGAGTGCGGAAGTGCACATCGGAAGGAGGGAAATCGGTGTGAAGTGAAACGATTCTTCACCCATCCCCAGAAAGTCCTCATCAATCCATTACGCAAACCTGCACTGTAAAAACATGCTGGGAAGGTATGGCCACCAACAGCTGCGATTTTAGCACTTCTTAGAGGAATGGCATCTAATTATTTCAACGGAAGAATGACAAAACATTTTATAAGAAGAATAAAAAATTGACGGAATCTAAATAATTTATAGGCAATTGGAAAGGAATGTTTCCTGAGACTTGGAATGACTGAGAAATTTAAGTAAAGCACAGAAGCGTCTAGTGAGCAGTGAAAGGCCTGATGGACGGTCGCAACGAACAGCTTCAGGTTTGGCCGGATCAAGCAAGCACAGGATCGATCAAAGGTAAAAATTGAAGAGAAAAAGAAAGCCGATCAAGATATTACCAACGGGTACCCTTGCAGAAATTTTTCTGGTCTCTCGCCCATCCCGTAGACACGAACATCCCCAAAAGAAGTGGGTATGCCTATCGCATTTCAAGTTAATTCCTCGCTAGCAGGGCACGTCGCATATTGAGGATTACCAGCGCACCAGCAAGGAAGGGGGTCGTAGTTGGGCGGGGAGGGGGGGAAGAGATTGGTCGTACTTGCTTTTGAGAAAATGGTTTCGGTTGCTGACTTTCTCACCTTCCTCGTGGTTTTTCCGTTTCACGCTATGTCCTCCATCCCATTCAATTCAGCTTTACTTTCTGTTACTTCTGGGGGGGGGTGAGGAACTGGAGAATTTCATCGAAAAGATGAGAGGAAGTAAAGAGAATTTATAAAATGGTTGTAGGCTGGGAAAATGGGGTCGTACCAAACCGGAAATTAAGAGTCGGGGAGAGGTGGAAGGAGAATTTTTTTCAAAATTTCTTCCCAGCTGTAGGACGTTCTCTGCTCACCAGATAACTTCTGCTTTTCACTAGTAGTTGCAACTATGAAATAAATGACAAAAAGTTAATGGTGATGATAATAATAAAAACAAAATTAATAAAAATGACAGTGGTAATAATAAAAATAATGAAGCCTCTCCAGGTTAAATCCAAAAATCTTACCAGTTGAAAAAAGGGTTGTTAGTAGCATTTTGAAAGCTCTTCCCTTAGCAGAGGAATAGCTTTAACAAAATATTCCCTGATTACGCACAAAATCCTCCAGAAATCTGCCCTATACAAAGATGGAGGATTCCCCAGTGAGTGGATAGAAACAAAATCTATATCAAAATTTAATTTCAACCGAAATGAGATTCAGCGAAATATGCATAAAACAAAACGCCCAGCGAGGTGCAGGCGAGACTGGGCGCAGCCGGAATGGGCGGAGCCGCCATGTGTACCACTCTATCGATCGAGGACTAGGAGGGGGCGATCCTCTTCACCGCGGGGGGTCTTATTGAACTCATCTAGATG